TGAACAGCCTGGCAGAGGGAGCCCCGATATTTGCTTCTGAAAAATTATTATGGTTAACCTTCAATTCGATTCACAGTCTGGGACTGGTTAAAAAAAACTTAACAGTTCAAATCTTAACCAAGGACCTCTAAGAACGTCTGAGTATAGAGGCAGTTCCGAGTAGGGTGGTGTTTTTTGTTTTTTTTCACAAAGTCAGGATATTCCGGTCTAATCAGTTGAAAATTTCCATGGGTATTCCTCCAAAGACTCCTATTATTATTGGTACAACCATTGATTTCTTATTATTATTATTTTATGGTTATTCTTATTTTCATGGCAATAGGTTTCCGAAGGGTCCCTTTTGGGTACTGTGTGCCCAATGATGCCAGGCACCATGACATACTTTTGAAAGATTGGGGGGCGGGAGGAAAATCTATTATTATTCCTCTGGATCTCAAGGTGCTTTAGATTACATGAAATTCTCCCTTCCTTTTTTCCCCACAATAACTCATCCTTATGCTGAGAGAGAGAAGTCTGACTCAAAGTCACCCAATGACCTTCTGTAGCTGCTTGGGGTCTCATCATTACACCAAACTGGCTCCCACTAGGCTGCTGTGAAGAAAAACACCGTCCTCTTTATGGTGCCTGGTTGTTAAAGCAAGCTGATTCACAGACTTGTGTAATGGGAATGTGGTCTCCAACTTCAGTGCACTACTAAATTGGAACAGTATACAGTACCACATCTGTATTACTGCATAGGCTTCCCTTATTAGATCCCTTCCAAGTATGCTGAATTCTGAGTCCCGTGGGCAGTTTGGGGAAGACTAATTTAGAACTATAAAAATTAAATGGGGACACAAAAGGCCAATAAACATTTTGTTCTGGCTTTATGCAGTTTGTGTATGTGTGTATGTGTGTGGTGAACGGAGAGAGGGGTTATTAAGGCAAGTGGCCCAAACAGGGTTTAAACTTTATTTTTACAACATAATTAATCAAACAAATTTATATGGCTGCCCATCTCACAAAAAGTCACACGGGAGGCTTACAACCATTTACCTTAGAAGGAAGCACCACTTTGTCCAAGAAAGTTTTCTTCCGCATATGATTGAATAACAAGCTACATTCTTATGCTTAGCCAAGTCTGGCTGATCTCCAAATACTAAATGAATGGGACACCAGTTAGAAATCTCAAGTAGGTTAGACTGGGGGTGGGGTGGGGAGGCAGGAAGGAAGAAAAAAGGAAAGATCCCAGAAAAAAGGACAACAGTTAACCCATTTTGATACTGTTGCCAAGCAAACCACATAGATCCCTCAATGAAGTTCCCAAGAGCTGGACTTCAAGGGAATGTTTTAACTATTCAGGGAGTCAGCTTTCTTTGAAATAGTGGGGCTGGCTCCAAAGTAAACCTATGACTTTGTATTGTTCTTTTTTCTTGAGCAAAGCTGTAGGGGGAGAATCCAGAGTCTTTTAGGAAAGAAGATAATATGCATGGAGGCTTTCCAAATATTTCTGAGCAAAGCAGGGCCTAAGCAGTCATCACTCCCAGCTCTTTTTTGCCAGTTGGTTTGTCCCACCCCACCCCGAACCACAAACTAGCTGAACACCTTTAACTCAAGGTTAAAAATGCAGCTAAGTGTGCTTGGTTTATGATTTTGTGTGCAGCAATGAGAAAATGGTAGCAAAGTTAATCCTGAGCAAATGTGACATATTGATTCAATCCTCTCCTATATTTTCTAGAGGAGAAGCCAAAAGGTACTCGATGGCCTTTCATGGTAACATGGGAGATGCACACCAGCCAGATCCATAAATTCAGAATAAATCTAAACCTCTAATCCAGTTTCCCAAACAAGTAAGCTGTAGCTCTGGGACTGAAGCCAAAGACTGCAACCCCAAACATTTCTGCCACTGTGAAGGAAAATGGTTGGACAGAGCACATTTACCCACATTCATAGAACAGGGGAGAACTGAAGGATGTCATATACAAAATATAAAAATGCTCAAACATTGTAGCTGGAAATAAATGCCCCTGGGAAATTCCTAGCTAAAAATACATGAATGGGGGGGGGGTCTGAAACACGTTAGTGGTTCTATTTTCCGGATATGCTTGCTTGGGTCCCACTACAAAGGATCCACAACTCCCCCCATCTCCTTAAGGGTGCCAATTTCAAAACTAAGTACCACATTTGTTTGACTTTGCTGCAACTGATTCCCTCTGGCCATCAGCTTTACTTTACATTCTGCAGTGAATTTAAACAATTCTTTCTAAGAACTAGAAAGGCATTGGTTTGCTGGCATTTTTTCACTTATCTCACCTCCATTGTTCTTATCGCTGGTTCTCCTGACACAGATTAACTTTATTTGGATGGGCTTTAATTGTTACTCTCCCAGGCAAGTTATCTTCCTCCAGCCTATAATTGCTTCTTAAACCAGTCCTCTAAAAGAAGAGCTGGGAGAACCACAGTCCTAAGTGGAAATGCAGGGAAAAGGAAGAATTATAATTCAGAATTGTTTAATCCCCTTAGTGCCACTCAGAGTAGAAGCAGAAGCTTCATTAAAGTTCAGCTCTAGCTACTTCTGCTCAGAAGAAAAGTCTATTGAGTTCAATAAGAGTTGGTTCCAGTGAATATAGAGTTACACCACAGGCTTTTTATATTGCTTTTACATGTTATATGTTAGTTTACCCAGATAGGTAGCATCACTAGCAGATTTTGGTTGAATCCAAGAACACACAAGCACAGCAATTGGATGGCAGGCCTTTGGGTAAATCTGGCTTGACTGTGAAGTAAAAAAGAAAATCTTGGAGGAAAAAAAGCCATTGGGCCAATGGAAAAATATTTCCCTATATGGGGGGTTAAAAAACAATCACAGATGTGTGATAGAGATGAGCTACACTCAAAACTTTCTTTTTTTCTGCCACCTTTTCACTAGGAGTGTGCATAATCTTGATTCCTAATTTCATCCTCTTCATCTACCTGTAGAGAGTGAGGGAAAATGACCTTAATGGAAATATGCAAGAACCATCACCTAGGGGCAAAAGAGGCTGAAACATTTTTGAAGTCCAGAACAATAAGCTAATGTTTGGAAGCAGCTTCTGATTCACTGAATTATAAGAAGGAGGAGGAGACAGATACAAGACAACCAGATTCTGTTATTACAGCCAATCTCAATAAAATAGTTTTAGCTTTCCTGGTCTGATTTACCTAGCGAAGCTGATATCACAAACAATGTCTGGCTAATCATTCCTGCTTGAGCATATCACTACTACATCATCTAGCCATAGTTAATAAACCCAAGGCTGCATTCACACAACAGGGTAAGTCAAAACCAAATGTGGTAGTGGAGCCGGTTGGTGACTGACTCCCAAGCTTCATGAACTTAAGAATTAGATCTGGGTCTGGATTCTTTTTAAAATTCTCCTTCTTGCTCCGCCCATTAACATTGCTTTGACATGGAAGTCCAAAGTGTGTATATTATTCAGAGGAGGCCAATCCTCCAACTTCTATGGATTCACTTTCCCAGATAAACCTGGGAAAACCACAACTTTATTGAGGGGGGCATTCCCCCCAAAGCATCTGATGATAAGGCTTCTTCCCAGGCCCAGGGAACAAATTGGAGTCTGGCTATGAGAGGGCAGGTAGCACCATGGCCTGAGCAACCTTCCGGTTCCCCAGATACCTACCAGCTGGAAATTATGGGAAGAAAAGTCAACTAAATCCAAACAGTCCCTGCTGGAGAACACCTCAAGGACATTAGTTCTGCTTGTGTTTCCAGATGGTATTGCCAGAGCAACCAGCACCTTGATTCCCTGTTTGCATCCAAAGAACTCTGGGAGCAACGCTCCACTCCCCTTGGCTTGGTGCTAGCCACAGGACTTACCTTTTAAGGTTGGAATCAAAGGTTTCAATCCATCAGTCCTTTTTATTCTGATGATTATTAATTTTATGATTAGGAAAATCTCCACCTCCAATCCTCTGAAGGCAAAGTTATGAGGCTCTTTTAATTATTTAGCGCATACCATAAGCTATTCATCGGGGGGCATCATTTATTCATTCACAACATTAAGGTAATTAAATATGAGCTCACCGGGAACGAGTGAATCTTGAAGAGGAGAAGGAGGCCAGTTGGTTGGCTGGAGGCTTAGATGGATGGGTAGCCAGCGAAGTGATGGGCCGAGGAAAGGAGGGGGAAGAGAGGGGGGTTGGTGAGCTGGCTGGCTGGCGGTGGGTGTTGGCTTCTTCTTCTTCTTCTTTTAAAGTCTGCAATAATTGATTTGCACAGAATTTCGTTCCCCTTAGCTGACACTTGAGAACCGGCTCATCTTGCAAGGTCCTGACGTGTCTCCCTTCTGGGGGCAGATGGAGGGAGGGAGAGAGAGAGGAGAGAGAGAGGAGAGAGAGAAAGGGGGGGGGGGAGAGAGAGAGAAAGAGAAACCTCGAGCTACTCGCTTCCCTTTTCCTCCCCGGCAGTCAGTCGCTCGGCTCCAACCAGAGCGCCCGCGCCTTAGAGCGCCGAGCGAGCCGGGCTCCGCCGCAAAGTCCCTCCAGCGCCAGGCTGAGCCGAGGCTGCCTCGGGGCGGCCGCTCGCCCGCTCGCTCTCTGGCTCCCGCTGCCGCCGCCGCCGCTTGGACTGGGCGCGCGCTCCGATAGGCGCTGGAAGCGTCCAATCAGAAGAGCCCGGACACCGAGGCGGCTTTAAGCCTGGCTGCGGGAGGACCCCAGCAAAAGTTTCCCCGGCAGCAGGAACTGGCCGAGAGCATCCATTTCCTCGCCGCCCTCTGCCGCGCGGGGCAAGGCTCCCTTCTCCTGGGTCCCGGCTGCCTGGTTGGGGGAATCCCCGCCCGTTCTTTCGGGGCGCTCGGACGCGGCTCCCGCTTCTGCCGGCCCGGGGAAGCAGCCGGGGACGGCGCCGCCACTTTCCTCCGGCTCTTCTTCGGGGAAAAACGCTCCTCCCCGCCCCCCCGCCGGCTTCCTTCGGCCAGCTAAGCCCGCGGCGGTCGGGCTGAGGGGTGGCGGCGGCGGCGGCGGCGGCGGCGCAGCAGCTCGGACCCGGAGCCATGTCGATGCTGCCCTCCTTCGGCTTCACGCAGGAGCAAGTGGCGTGCGTCTGCGAGGTCTTGCAGCAGGGCGGCAACCTGGAGCGGCTGGGCAGGTTCCTCTGGTCGCTGCCCGCCTGCGACCACTTGCACAAGAACGAGAGCGTCCTCAAAGCCAAGGCGGTGGTGGCCTTTCACCGGGGCAACTTCCGCGAGCTCTACAAGATCCTGGAGAGCCACCAGTTCTCGCCGCACAACCACCCCAAGCTCCAGCAGCTCTGGCTCAAGGCGCACTACGTGGAGGCCGAGAAGCTGCGGGGTCGGCCGCTGGGCGCCGTGGGGAAGTACCGCGTGCGGCGGAAATTCCCCCTGCCCAGGACCATCTGGGACGGGGAGGAGACCAGCTACTGCTTCAAGGAGAAGTCCCGGGGCGTCCTGCGGGAGTGGTACGCGCACAACCCTTACCCGTCGCCCCGGGAGAAGAGGGAGCTGGCCGAAGCCACGGGCCTCACCACCACCCAGGTTAGCAACTGGTTTAAAAACCGGAGGCAGCGCGACCGAGCGGCAGAGGCGAAAGAGAGGTGGGTTCTGCTTGTGCTTCGGACTCTTCTGGGGACAACGATCGCGGCGGCCCCCAGAGCAGCAGCTCTCTCGGGGGGGGGGGAAGGGGCTTTGGGGCAGGTTCCGCCGATCTGCCCCGGGGACTTCCTTCCCGCGAGAAACCTTACGCTCCTCGGCCGAGGTAGATGTGGGGCAAGAATTACCCTGTCACCCGAACGTGGAACAGGAACAAAATAATGGGGGGGGGGTGTGCTGACGATCTGGACTGGCGTGGCGTCTCACAGCCGTAGGGCTGTAGCATATTTGGCTCGCTTGAGGCTTTGGGTTGTATGAATCCAACCCTTGCGCTCATCTTGGGGGGGGGGCGCTGCGTAAAACTAAGCAACTGGGCGAATTGAGTAAGGGCCTGCTCCGGTTAACCCTGGTCAGCGCGTTGGGCCACGCCAGTTGGAAGGGCGAGCCTTCGCTAAAAAGTTTCTGTGTTCTTTTCCCTTGGCTGGTTTGCTAAGCAACGATTTCACCGCCCCTCCTTGCGCCACTAACTTCCAAGGGATTGGGCCACGATCCTGCGCTTTATTTACTTAGGCGCAAGTGTCCCATAAACCCAACAGCACTTTAGTTTAATAGCTGTGCCTGTAAGGAGGCAGATTAGTCGCGTAGTGAACCCTCGTGCCTTAAAAACCAGCGGGCCCTGAGCTTTAATCGGATGGAACCGCTAGAGCTCCATCTGGTGCTCTCCAGATGTGTGGAACTGTAGCTTCCAAAACCCTCAGCTGGCCGGGAATGATGGGAATCGTAATCCAATAAGTAGGGGACATCCAGGCTGAACAGAACGCCGTCCAGCCTTTGTTTCTAAATAGGGAGCAGCACTAGAGAGGTGTCAGTTAATTGTATTTGCTGTTGTCTCTCCACCGCAACCATCTCTGCCTTGCAAGGGGATCCTAAAGCGAAGTGTTACAATGCCTTTTGAAATGCGCTGGAATTGATGGATTCAGGAATGAGCTCTCAGTTTTCCATGGGGGGGGAAATGAGGAGGAGGAATGAGACCCCCACACACACACATTTTCTTTACACCATCTCATGACAGAACCCTAACCCTAACCTTTTCTTAATGTTCCTTAGTGCTTCTCCCCTCCCCCAGGTATTATTCCAACATACAGTGCAAACAGAAGTGTGTTGTTAGGCTTCTTCTGGGAGGATCCAGCCAAGCAAAGCAGCCCCCTCAAAGACCACCACTTCATGCCTTTTTAGCCCCCATAGTCTTCACATCCCGCAACCCCCACTAGGAATCACTAGTGATTCCTTCCCATTCTCTTTCCTAATTTTTTGGTTCTTGCCACCTGCCCCTGTGGATGCTGCCCATTGCTTCCCAACTCCACATATTCTGTGGGGGTGGGGGCGGGGGATATACTGCCTGCTTGCCTTCTGGTCTTGAGTGGCAATCTTCCCCTGGCAGCTAGAAATAACACCCTCAAATAGCCCTGGGTGTTTCTACTAGAAACACAGTCTCCAGCCTGGCTTATTATGCTCCAGTACAACATGATTTGAAAGCCAAAGGTAAAAACCAGTGTGCAAGCTAACATTTCCCTGATGGTGATGGTAGTAGTGGTGATGGTTGGTATCATCATCATCATCAAGCAAAAAGAAAAGATGGAGCTATCTCAATTGTGCAAGTCCAGTTTAGATTTTGTGGTTTTAAAATATTCACTTCCTACTCTGCACTGCAGCCTCCCGAGGAAGGGTGCCTTAGAGGAAGGCCATAAGATTTGAAGGGGCTGCTTTGTGTTTCTGGCTTTTTAAGGCAGCTAAAGGTTAGATTGGAGAGGTCGTCTTCAGAAAAGGCCCAGAGGCTTTTCTGGGGATACTTCCAGCCTGCACTCCTAAGCCTGCTTTTGCGTCACTCCTGGAACTCGGAGGAATTCGGCTGACCTCCTCCAGGGCCAGAGGCTCCTCAGAGGCCTGTCACCTGGGAGGCAGGAGAGGGGACGTCGTCACAGTGGTCGCCATTCAGGGTGCCCAGAAAAAGAAGCCCCGTTTGGGAAGAGTCAGTGGGAAGCCGGCTCTCTTCCTCTCTTCCGTCAGACCCAGCCAGAGCCACCCCCCAGTTAAATGGAAGTGCTTAACTTTAAGATGGTTTACATGTGTTTAGGATTAGGGTGTCAGTCGCACTGATGGGTCCCAGACCTTCCCCACCCAAGATTTGTTCCAATATCTCAAGGCGAAATCCAGGGACTTCTATTTCCAAATCTTTCCCCTCTGAGGCTGGGCCCTCGGTTTTGTTCAATATGACAGGCCCAGGGAGGGAGGAACAAGTGTGTGTATGTGTGTGTATGGAGAGGTGGGTGGGTGGTGGGTAGTAGCGGGGTAGCCCCCCCAACAACCTTTATCAACTTGAAGTCCTCCAGATGTGTTGGGGCTACTGCTCCCTGAGTTCCCAGGAAGCCGTACCTGGGAATTTTGGAGATTGTAGTCCCTGCACATCTGACCAAGGCCAGGTCGAAGAAGGCCACAGCGCCAATTGCTGGAGGGACAATTACAAGGGCGGGGGCGGGGGAAGGGAGGCTCAGGGGGCTAGAGTTGGGCTCTGCCCCCCAAGATGCAGGGCTGGCAGGACTGTTCAACTCGTTCCGTTGGAGGTTTCCGTTGCTAAAATTGCCAAGTGCAGCCTGGAAACGAAAACCGAGAACCAGGGGATCTGGCGCTAGACCCCCAGAATCAGCGGCAACGGTGGCAGCGGTAACGGTGGCGGACTACAGCCCAGAAGATAGGAAGGGACCTTGGGTTGCCTCGCCAGCCGTGGCTCTTTCGATCCTTTTATCTCTGAATCTCTGCGGACTGGATCACTCGGGGGAAACGGTCCCGCGTCCTTCTCCTTGCGGATGGCCTCTGGAAAGTGGCCCCCTCTCCCCTGGCTTTCTCTACAAGGGCGACGCGGACTCCACAAGGCGATTTCCCGAGGGGACGCGGAGCTGCACGGAATCGTTGGAGAACCCTCTTCCTTTCGACGGTACATACTACTCGTTTGTAGAAGGAATTCGGACCGTCGATGATATAGTTCGGATACAGTTGGAAAGTCCTGGGCACGTAGAGCAAGTAGAGCACGAGGTTCTTGAGCAAAAAACACACAACGTCGCGTATTGGGCCCGGGATCCTTCAGTGAAAAATTTCCGCAGGGCAATGCCCAAAAACATTTTTACACGTAAATTGTAGCTGTTTCAGGGGTAGCAGACTCAACCGGAGTCGGCCTTAATTTCGGGGTAAATACAGCGAGTCTAGTGCTCCAGCTTTCCAATATTTGCAAAGATGGGCTACTTTTCACTAAGAACGTACATTTTACTCGTTGGAGAAAGATGTTTTCGCACCGCTTTTGGTGCGCGCGCTCATCCCACACGTTGCTCTGCTCGTCTGAAGGGGAGAGGTAGGAAATGGAATCGTTAGAAACAAGAGATTCCACCATCTGACAGCATCTTCAGAGGTGCTGTCAAGTTCCACGTCTATTTTAAATCTAGATAAAACTGCCGTGTCAGTGTTAGCTTTTCGGGAACCCGCCCCCACTCTTAGAAACCGGATAAAGGCGTTATTTGAGATAACTTTGGCCTTAACATTGGTTTGCTTTTTTTTTTTAAAAAAAAAATCCCATATGATTAAAATTGGTTGCATTTCTCCCGGGCTCTCAGCTTTATAGAGACTGCAGCTTTGCTGTGCTCTGGACAATTTATCATCTAAAGGCGAAGCAGCTCATTGCTGATGCCAGCCTCCTTCGGGCTGCGGACAGTGCAGCCATCTAAACAGGCAGCCAAATTGGTGAAGAACTGAAGGGAGGAAAAAAAAGTCAATTTCTCTGCAGAAGACCCGGGAAAGGTTGTTTTGTTTGTTTGTTGGTTTGCTCTTCTTTTTTCTGCGAGCAGCTTCTGAGTTCCGGCTGGAGCCCCGGGCACGATCCAGCCTCCCCACTCAAAGCGCCTTGAGGCCGCCGCGCTTGGAGAGCCAGCGCTCTCTCAAAGCACCGCTTTGCAAGGTTCGGATCCGCCTTGGGGATATATATATTGGAATCGAGGCGGCTCAAAATAATGGCAGCCGCAGCCTAGGGATGAATGGAGGCGGGCGGAGCGGGACCTTCGGCCGCCTGGTCTCCATCCAAGGTGCAGATTGTATTGCCTTGGGAAGCCGAGCCGAGCCGAGCCTTCAACTTCTGCACTTCTTTCTTAAAATAACTCACACCTGCAAGGAGGACGTTGGCCGACGGGGAAGATACGCCGGGCGGAATGTGCCTCCAAAGGGAGAAGAATTCAGAGCTTCTGTTGACGCCTCTGCGATTCGTTCACTGCCTTTTTCAATAGCTCGAATCTTTGGGGAGCTCCGTTTCATCGGACGCGCAGCTCCCCAGGCACAGAGTTTGGCAGCCGGCCTTCAAGGGCCCAAGCTGGGAAGGGAAGACCACGAGGTTACCGGTTTCAAAAGGAGCCACCGGCCAGCTTTCCCCCTCGTTTGCCCAAGAAGCTCCTGTGATCACCGGCTCCCCGCAGCTGGGCGACTCGGCCGTATTTCCAAACACGCTCCCGCGACAGATCTGCATCTTCACCTGGGTTCAAAAGTCGTGGAGATAATACATACCTGCCGGAAAGTTAGGGGGGGTGTCTCCCCGTGGGATTTGGGAGTAACCTGAAGAAGGCAATGGGACTCCCTTCCAGCTAAACGCTCTTGAGCTATATGTGGTATAAACCCAGAATGTCTTTTGTGACCTGGATAATAAAGGGCGACTTCCCTTCCCCCCCCCAGCAATTAACTTTCCTAAAGTTGAAAGACTAAGTTTTCCAGACCCACGACACCCCCCCCTTCCGAAGTTTGGAGGGCGCCTAGTACAGCTTCCCAAGTCCTTCCTTCTCCAGCCAAGACGTGTGTTAAAATGAGGAGTTGTTGTGGCACCGGAAGGCATAATTAGATCTCAGATCTAAGCTCATTCAGATGCCCGAATCCAGTTAGTTCAGGCAGTGAGGCTTGCAAAAGAAAAAAAGAGGGAGAGTTTTCCACCCCTGACTGAGACTTCGGGAGGAAGAAAAGTTCCCTGTTGCCCTTCTGAGCTGCTTTCCTTGGAAATAAGTTGGAAGAGGGATTTTTTTTTCTCATGAAAACTTTAATATAGCTCAAAATATAAGGGCAGGCCTGACTCTAACGTTCTTTCCTAGCATTCGATTATTTTTTTTAAAAAGTTAATGGCACTTTTTTTTTTAAAAAAATGATATTTTTGTAAGTTGTTTAATATTATTATATAACAGAAGGCAATACAATACATAGTTACACCATCATAAAAGTCTTCTTAATGGAAGAATTTGGAAGTTATGTCTCATAGTGATTTTAACTCTGTAATCAATTATCTGGAAATCAGATATTAGCAGGACTTATTTCTAGGCACAAATGCCCTGGAAGGACCTGAGGCTGAAAGCTTAGGTGGATTTTCACTTTTGTGTTTTTGAAAGGTGATTATTTCCTAGATTGGTTTCGTAAATTTCCTGTATTTCAAAAACATTTTCTTTGCCTCCTTTTTTTTCCCTTTTGCTTCGGTTATCCTGTTTTTAATTCAACGGCAAATAATTCTGAAGCAATTCCTGTTCCCTCAATAGGGCTCCCCTCCAAGACAGCTGCTTTTAGGATTTCAGCAAGTGGCTCCAGGCTTTTAGCAAGTTTGGCTTGCTTGTTCAAGTTTTGTATTTTCATCTTGCAGATTGAAGCCATTTCCTCTTCCCCACCCTAAGACAATGAAATAATTGATGTAATCGTACTAATTAAACACTAATTAATATTAATTGCATTGATTAAAGGATATATTATTAAGAGTCTCCAGTTTCAAGTAGATTCATTTACCAATAGAAGAATTAAAGAGAAATCTGGGATTTTAGGGACATTTTCAAAAGGTGTACAGCAGGCTCCCATTAACTTTCTAAACACACTCATGCAGTGTTCTTATGTGGCAGCAAATCTCACGGAACACAATATAACTTTATTTGGAGTGAATCACAGAAGAAACAACTCAATTCCTGACAGTCAGAACAATTAATCAGCCCAACGACTTGCCTCCAGAAGTTGTGGGTGCTCCAACACCGGAGGTTTTTAAGAAGAGACTGGACAGCCATTGGTCTGAAAGCTTTTCTGCTTGAGCAGGGTGTTGGACTAGAAGACCTCCAAGGTTCCTTCCAACTCTGTTATTCTGTTATATGTACAGCAAGAATTCTATGTAATCTTTCTTTGCAAGTCATTTGTCCGAAAATGGTATATTTGTCTGAAATGGTATAGGGTTTCCTGCCTGACCAGGGGGTTGGACTAGATGACCTCCAAGGTCCCTTCCAACTTTATTATTATTATTATTATTATTATTATTATTATTATTATTATTATTATTAGTAGTAGTAGTAGTAGTAGTAGTAAACTGGGGTGGGGGAGGGGGGGAAGAGAAGTGTCTTGGAGGAAATAAAAATGTACTGTGATGCCTAATGTTACCTAAAGTTGATGGGATTTCTATGTATAAAATATATTTTTGAGGAAAGAGAGTTTTTAAAAATGTAAAGTTCCATCCAAGTTTATTTCCCGAGGACTGAAATTTTGCAGGGATCTGATAATTACATTCACATTAGTGGATTTTGCATTTAGGCCAGCCTTCCCTAACCAACCCTCCAGATGTGTTGGAAATCTGCCAGGAATTCTGGGATGTGTGTGTAGCACCCATCTTTCTGGAGAGTTTGAGATTGGGAAAGGCTTTTCTAGAATTACTATTCCACCCCACCCCCCCTTCACTCCATTATGTAACCAGTTTGGCCTATAACTAATTTCTCCTTTCTCACCTCCCTTCCCAGAGAAAACACTGAAAACAACAACGCATCTACCAACAAACAGAACCAGCTGTCTCCTCTGGATGGGGCCAAGCCACTCATCTCCAGTTCCGAAGAGGAGTTTTCGCCCCCCCAAAGTCCGGATCAGAACTCCATTCTCCTGCTCCAGGGCAACCTGAGCCATGCCAGGAACTCCAGCTATTCCTTGACCGGCTTAACTGCCTCACAGCCAGCCCACAGCCTCCAGCCTCACCAGCACCAGCTGCAGGAATCCCTCTTAGGCCCTCTCACTTCCAGCTTGGTGGACCTGGGCTCATGAGTTCGTCCCCCCACGCAAGGTGGGGCTTGTAAATAAGGGAACTGTGTCATACATTTTTTTTCTCCCCTCCCTACATCCCCCCGTTTTGTTTTTTCAGAATGTTCCTGGTGGTTTTTAAAATGACTTTTAAAAATCCGCTTCTAAATCATCCAGTTTCCATTTCTCTTTATGCAACACCTCTCTTGCTAAACCATCTTATGGGTAGCCAAACAAAGAGAGAACATCCACCCTTTCATGCATTTGTGGGGCAATCCTTGGTGTCATCCCTCCATTGCGTTTCTTTTCCATTGACTTAATCTTTCCTGAGTTGGAATGACAGGTTGTTGCATTTTATTTAAAAGGACAGGGAGCATCACCAAGCCAAGTTAAGCACTTAGAATCCATCAATTTTAAGGAGAGATTTAAGCACTATGGATTTTAACTTGGACTGTGTCCTATCCTTTTGTTTCCTAGAGGAGGAAAAGAAGGCAAATATTTTATAGCAGAATCCTAAGCATCCTTACTCAAAAATAAGGCCCATTAAAGTAAATGAAGCTGACAAAGCAAATCCATGCATGCTTACTCAGAGGTTTGCTACGGTAAATGGGTCTGATAAAACAGCTCATATAGGAAGGGGGCTCTTACTTTCCACTAAGGACTTAGTGATATATTTTAATAGGTGGTGGTGGGTAGTTATTTTGGCTTGAATTTTGGGGGAATAAAGAGAGGGTATAAAGTACCAAACATTAATTCTAAAAGGGAGATTTGGAGAGGGCAAATTAAGTTTACATTTTTCTTTTTTGGTCAGGCTTAGATTTCTGAAAAGATTTGAAGTAGCTTTTAAAAAAAACAGGGAAACGATGCAGTATTAGCTGAAGAATGTCAAGTGCCTATGTCTTAATGCAGAGGTGTGAGCCCTTTAGGTTAGATTAAAGTTTCATGAGAGTAATGTCATGTCGGTGATTTTTCTGTTTATGGTGAATTTTGGAAATGAATCTGTGTGATTTTTTTTTATAATAGCAACAACAAAAGTTGTTCCACTTACCTGGACATCTTTCATAATCCAGACTCTTTTTCTAGGTTTTATTTCTGTCTGTCTCTCTTCGTCTTTTTCCCATATAGTTTGGCTTGAGAAATCAACTGGCAATTTGATTACCGCTAGTAGCATGTGCTTTCATTTCCAGGTTTCTTGTACCCACAGAAATCTAAATTAAACTTGATAAGACTGATAAGACTCTTAATGTTATTTATAATTGGATAATAGTCAATGTGTATTCTCTGCTCTCTCCCCCCCTCCCCTTCTGCTAAGCTTTCTATGCCTAAAAGTCATTCGAGTTGGGGGCTATATCTACTCCAGAGAAATTTCCTCCTGTTTCAGGGAAGGCCTTGATCAGGAAAACGTGGAGATAAGACTCCAAGTCTCTTCTTCAGACAAAGGAGTCTGGGATATTTTTGAGATCTTCTTTCTTTTTCCTCCTGGCTGAAGGCAAACAAATTAACCTTTATTCAGAATCAACATTGATGCCCCGTCTTCTTTTGGGACTAGGTGGAGCTTACAAAACATGCAAGTTTTTGAATTTCCCTTTCATTAGGCAGTAAAAGGTGCGGCAGAGGAAATGAGGTTGGCGTTGGGTCCATGTCTGTGGCAGGTTAGTCTTGGAATTCAGGGGGATTTCTTCCGGTTGTTTATCCTGCTTTGAAAGGATCTTGTTTGGTGAAGAGGATTTTGAAATATGAGCACCATTTTGTAAACCCCCCCAGTTGGCCTAATAAAGGTCCTGACTTAATACGAAATTCGTATTACCTATAGTAACTGCACTATTATGCACATTGACATTGTTTTATGGTCTTAATGGGGGAGAATTAGAATACTTTATTTGGCCAAGTGTGATCAGACACACAAGGAATTTGTCTCCGGTGCAGAAGCTCTCAGTGTACATGCAAAGCAAAAGCAATTGGTCATTTAGCAGGATGGCAGTTTGGATACTGCATAACAAGCCCCCCCCTCATCTTTATGCACATTTGAGTCAACAAACTAAGGCACTGAGCAGACCCATTCTCACACTATGCTAAGCTATGTGTTTGCTTAGGATAATACTCTGTTCTGTGAATGCAACCACAGTTTGGATATTGTGGGAATTCATTAGTAGTGATTTATTTTCTGAACCTGGGTTTAGCATGTTGATACATTCTTCCTTGTAAGCATACACTGGAGGAACAAGTTTATTATTATTATTATTGAATGAAAATAAAAGTCAGGGATGGGCTACAGGCTTTATAGCTCCCCTGTCCTGAGATTTCCCTGGCTGACTAAAGTAGGTGGGGCTTCTGGGTAGAACTTCTCACCTGGGTGGAGGGAGGGGCTTTTCTTTTGCCCAGATTCTCAAAAAGGCCTTGTTTCCTCTCCCCCCCCCCCTTCACAGCCCTGCCAGGATTGCTCCCAACAGAGCTCCCTGGCTGAAACCTCAGCGTGCTTAGTTTGTTTTTGGCTGCCTCATATGTGCAACCCAGCCATTATGGTACCTAGAGCAGACCATGATGGCTTGAACAAAAACTAGTTTAAAAATGCTGGCTTTCAGCATATGGCCTGGAACATATGGAGCGCTGAGGAGTGCATCAGTTGGGGAGACAAACGAGACTCCAATAATGCCCTATTCAAAGTGCAAGCTAAGCTCTAGAGCAGGGATCCTCAACCTTAGCAACTTTAAGACTTGTGGACTTCAATTCCCAGAATTCCTCAAAGTAGCTGCAGCCTGGTCCAGGGAGAGCCATTTAGACCCAGCTTTTGTGGAGCAGCTCCCAACTGAACCAAAGGCCCTTCAGTAGACTCACATGCATTTTGTGTTTGTGAGTGCGTGGGGGGGGAAGGGGTAATTTTGCTGGGTTGCAGCATAATCCAAGCCATGTTTTACTCCAGAGTTAAATGCTCTGATGGCCAATGACTTTAACTCCTAGGTTATCTTGACACTGATGGAGTTTTATTCAGGCCCTGGAAAACCCCAGGGGGAGGGGTCCTTTGAACTGCTCCTCCCCACACACCCCTTCTCTCCTCCTTTCTCCTTTCCTCCTGCACCAACGCAATTTTTCTTTGCCCCCTCTCTTGGCCTTGCAAATCCCTGGCCTCGTAAAGGAGGAGCAGAAAGCCTCCCAAACTTCATGGCATTATCTATTGGCCTTCTTTTTCTAGGATATCTTTTGGGGGGGGGGGGTTTCCCTGCCTCAACAGTTAGGATCCTGGTGGTCATTTCTGACCCGTGGCCTCTCAGCAGAGGTAGGAGGACCCCAGCAATTGCCTCCCGCGAGGCCTGAATCGCGTCCAAACGCGATAAATTTATTTATTTATTTATAAGGGAGAACCACGGAAGGCTCTGAACGCCGGTTTAGAAATAAGTCCTCTTCCGGGGCGGAGCTTCCTTTCTTCCCGGGGCCTTAAGTAATGGGATCTGCCCGCTCCCCCAGATCCAACACCCCTCCCCGCCCTTTTCACACCAGGACTCCCGACGGCCTAGGAAGCGCGCCGGGACGGCAGCCTCTCGCCTTCGCTCGCGGCATCCCTTCGGCTCCGAGTCTGCCCAGCGGCCCTCCGGCCAGCCTTTCCCTACGGTCGGGGCCAGGAGCTGCCCCGGGAGCCCCGAGTTTATTCTTTAACCCTGTTAAGAAGAGAGACCCGATTCCCCAGCTAGCTGGCCTTTCCAGGCCGGCTCCAGCTCTGCCCCGCCTCCGTTTCTGCCTCGGGGCTAATGACCCGCGTCTCCCCTGTTAGCGTTTTGCACCATTAAGCCCTTGTTTATCTAGCGGCTGCTCTGCCGGGCTCGGCAGCGGAAGGACGACCCGCTGCGGGAAAGAGGGGCGTCTTGTGTTGATCTGGCGCCTTTTTTAAGGCGTTCTTGCCCGCGATAAGCACCGGAGCGATCCGCAGGGCCGCCGAAATGGAGCCTCCAAGAACCCAAGCGAAGCAGAACGGCCAGTAAAGATGCTCGTGTAAACTCAGCCGGGTTGTACTACGGATCAAGCAATTAGGAATCAACCCCCCCCCCCCTAAAAAAATAATGATACCCCTATCGAAAACTTGTCTCTCGTCTCCCCCATAGAGGAACCGCGTCCCGGCTTTGGCTTTTTCCACAAGTGACTTGTCAATCCGCTTTCACGCCTTGTCTCCACGCGAAGAGCTGGGTGGACCCTTCGCCGGCAGCACCGCTTGGTTCTCCCACCACCGGAATGGAGGTAGCTGGCAAGAGGGCCGGAAGAAGGATTAGGTCGCCTTCGCCGAGAGTCCGAGGGAAGTTTTTGTTTTGTTTAAGGGGAGTAATTGCAGCCCTCTCGAGTTTCTACCAAAGGCAACGGGGAGAATATTCTCGCCTCTGAGGAGGCGGAAGAAATGGTGAGGAACAGAGGAAAAAATAACGAGGATTCTCAGAATCTCAATCTTCTTTGCGAGGGCTCTACAGTATGATAAAGCTGGTTCCCCCCTTTCTACATACATACATACATACAATACATACATACATACATACATACATACATACACACACACACACACACACACACACATACATACACATACACATATACATGTAGGTCTTTGGTTATTCGGGTTTTCTCCCGTGTAAAAGTGGAAGTGTCTTGTGTGTGTGTGTGTGTGTGTGTATATATATATATATATATATATATATATATATATATGATAAAAACATACAAACAACAATGAGCACCAGGAAAAGTAAAAACCTTTAAAAAGTTTTAATATATATTCCTTAATATGGTTATCTCTTCACTTTTCCCATTTTAAATATATATTAATTTCTTTCCATTCGGAAATATTAAATGCTTAATAGCTTGCCTTTAGAATTTGTGGAAAAGGTTAAATGCTTAACTTTGGTTGGATCAAGCCTCCTCAAAGCAATATCATGGTGATAAAATATTTCCACAGTTATAAACTTTAATGAGGAATGAAGCATTTAGAGCTGATGATGCTCCATTCTTTAAAAAAAAGGGAAAAAAGTCAATCCAGGAAACTACAGACCAATTGGCTTGAGAGCAGCACTTTGGGGAAATCCTACAAAATATCATCATAGGATGGGTTTGCAAGCATTTAAAAAGGTATTACAGAAGCAAGCATGGGTTTG